CTAGAAATACAGTAAAAGCTTACAGAAGGCATTTTTGCATATAAACACTATGGAAATGGTTAGAATACTTGATTTGCTAATGTAAATCTTTTCTGTTAAGCTTTGATCAGCTTTATAATTTTCTCTAAACTTAATAAAGCAGCCAGATATATATAGCTAGGAGATATATAGATATATATACACGCACTTAAGCCTTTTTTGCTTTTTTGAGTTTTTTTTTTAACGCATACCTAGTTTATTTTAAAATTTGACTCCACTCTGCTCATCTTTACATTTGTTGCCATTTTTATTTGGGCTAGACCTTTAAACATAGTGGTAAAGTGTGTTACAGTTCCTTGGCAAACACTGTTGCAATTTCAGCTGCATTCAAAATGTGTAATATTTTCTAAAGGTTTATTACTTACACAACTCAACAAAATTAAATGTGCTTACGTGTTTTGAAATGATTGCCTGCTTATTATTTGCAGACATGATAACAAAATCCTTTAGCAAGCAAGTGTACTAAAGTAATTTTCTCATGTTCATTGTACTTCTCTTCTAGAGAAGGATATCCTGGAAACTACCTTTCCTGGTCCTGCACATGAGAGCAATAAAAGTCAAAAATCATTGCAACAAAGTTCCTCTGGATCAGAGCAGAATAAAATTGTGAGCGTGAGCTATTCATCAAAAGATGTAGACAGTGACATGTCGAAGAACTCCTGCACTACCGGAAGTGACTGGAGCTCAGACGAGGATGGAAGAGACAATAAAGGACTAAAATCCAGGTGTGCATCGACTCCCTCAAGCCACACATCTGAAGAGAACACAAAGTACAGCAGAATGGGGAGCGAAATGTATTTGACAGCATCTGATGACAGCAGCTCTCTCTTTGAAGAGGAGAGCTTTGGTGTCCAAAGGACTCAGCAGAAAAAGTTGTACTCCTGGCAGCAAGGGTCGCAAAGAAAAGGCCAGAGCCTTCCACCTGGAAAGTGCACCTCAGACTTAAGTAAAAAGAAGGACCAAGATAGCTCTTCAGATGAACTGAATAAGAAATTTCAGTATCAGAGATTGGATTATTCATCCTCATCCAGTGAGGCAAATACCCCAAGTCCAATTTTAACCCCTGCTCTTACACCTAAACACCCAATTCTAGCAACTTCTGCAGGTTCTCAGTGCATAACACCGTCAGATTCTCCCTCAAATTTGCCACCACCAAAGTTACGGACTCCCAATGTGTTTAGTATAAATTTAGCATTGGCAAAAAAGCATTTAAGCCAGCCCCAGTTGAGTTCTGACAGGATGTTTGGTAGAAATAGAAATGCTATAAGCATGATCCGTCCATGGAGACCTCAGGAAACGGACATTGATCTGCTGGATGGAGAAGATGCAGATATTTTAGAGAAAATGGAGATTGGCTGTGACAAAGGAGTGTTTACCTATGATTGCACTGAAATACAGAATGCTGAAGCCCAGGAACCTTGTGATATGACAAAAAAGGGTGCTAGCAACAAACCTCCAACCCCTCCGTTACATCGATTTCCCTCCTGGGTAAGTATAATTATAGATATTTTTCCTACTGATGAAATTAATTCTTTTCATGCTTCTCTTTTGTAATTCTTCTTGCCTCTACCTTTCTCATTCTCTCTCTGTTTGATGACAAGACAGGCTGTTGCTTCTGTTGCCTTAACAGAAGCTAAGAAGACAAACTTAGAAGCAAGTTTGACTTAAAACACAGCATTTAAAAACATAATCACTATTTTTGTAGGTAAGGCCAATTTTTCCAGGCCACCTCTAAGTTATATATGTCCTTTTGTATGTACCCAATGAGACAATGCTTGCAACTATATTTATTTAATTATATATTTTAACACCAACAGAGCCTAAGAGTGCTAGTTTCAGCACTTTGCTGTAAGCAATGTACCATTCACAATCTAGACAATAAGTTAACAAAAGTCAGCTACTGATTATAGAAGTTATTGATCACATTTCCAGGTAGAATTTCAAAGCTGTCAGTCCAAAAGAGAATTAGAATAGAAAATAATATTTTTTATATAAAATCCAAAATTAACTTAGTCTAGACTCACTGACTTTGCAGTTCTAGAGTCCCCCATCCTTGTATGGATTCAGAGATGACGAATGCCTTAGTGCAACACCTTTGCTATGAATGTATTTGAAGGCATATTTTTTCACTGTGGATTTTGTTATTGTGGCTTGAATAGTTTTTTGTTGAAAAGCTGCCTCCATAGTGGTGATCTCTGTTCTCAACATACAGTCTTCCATTACAAAATATTCTCGCCATAGCTCCTTTGGCTCCTGATGTTAGTATTTTTAAGAAGAACTCTTAGATACAAAGGCAAGCATTTTTTGAAAAAAGGTTGAAATGAAATATGGTGTGGTAAGAGGTATAAAAAGCAAGGCTGCATTTTTTCTGCTGTTACTGATGACACCATTTTATCAACCATTTTATCACAGGGTTATACTCACACAAGACTATGGTGAGGTTAAGTAGAAGAAAAATCATTGTTATGTTTTGATTATCCACCATAAAATCCATTCTGCTTTTATGTTAGGAAAGCAGAATTTATGCTGTAGCCAAATCTGGCTTAAGGATGTCTGAAGCTTTCACCGTGGAATCTCTTAGCAAAAGTAAGTGGTTTAGCTGTTCATTGTCTCATGAACTAAAAATTCTTTTCTTATGGTGATTTGTAAGAAGGGACAAAATCTCTTATGTTCCTCTAAGATATTTTTATGATGATTTATTTATCTGCTCTTGAAAGTCTAGAAAATCAGAGATCATCTTCCATTATTTTCTCTTACTTTGCCTGTTGACTTTGTGGTGAATTTGTATTTCATTCACTCCAGTTTTATTTGCAATTCATTCTGAAGATTCTGTACCAGATATCGAGGTGACAATTTATACTTTCAATTTTAAAAGAGTTAGCGGTCATGATTACAATTTATTTATAATCCTTAAAACCACTGTAAATTTCAGACACCTATAGATCTCACATCCAGAACAAATCAGGAATTAGTTCATTTTTTTAACAGCAGAGCAGGACAATGCAAAAAATAACATGAAAATTTCATAAATTGGAGAGTAAAATTAGGAAGATAATTTATATACAGTATGTTGCTTTTTTTAGGTGCTGTTTCACTACCTTCATGTTCCGTATCTGGATTATATACATCTCTGATATATAAGAACATGACCACTCCTGTCTACACCACTTTGAAAGGGGTAACTGTATTGTCGCTTATAAGAAATTTTGAAATATCATTAGGCTTCACATCCAAGAACTTGCTGTTTCACATTTGATGCTACCAGGCCAAAAATGTCAAGATCCTATTTAGAGATCATAGAACCCCAGGGGTAATGGAAGTGTCAAATAGCTGGAAAAAAAATACATAGCTGCTTATAAAATGTTACCAGCCCAGGTCAGTTTTTCTTAGGTTCCTTGCTGATTTTTTCCAAAGGCTTGTTAATTATTAAACAGAGCCACATGGTGTTCAATGCGATAATTAAAAGTGTGTGTGTGTGTGTGTAGAAATGTCTTTGTGTCCGTGCCAAGGCTGTTTTTATTCAGATAGCCAGCAGTAACTAATCACAGCATTGTTTGTTTTCTGGCAGCCTTTTGCGCTTTCAAAAGACCCGTGCCTTGAACTACCTCAGTTTTCTGTTTTAAGTGTGGGGGTGGCTGAGGATACAGAGGGCAGCAGGGAATTCAGCTGGACGTTAATATTTGTGTCCCAGGCCTTACAACCCAAATAAGAACCGTTTCGAATGTTGTAAAGCCAGCAGAGCTCTACCACAGTATGAAGGAAATGACTGGTATCTTTCATGCAAGATTTCAAAGAATGTTGTGTTAATTTCTGCAGAAGGCAACTCAAATAAGCAGCAGCCCATTCATAGATGAGTCTTCAGGATCAGAGGAGGAAGACAGCTCTCGGTCCAGCTCAAGGACTTCTGAGTCCGATTCTCGAAGCAGAAGTGGCCCAGGTAGTCCTCGGGCTATGAAACGAGGTACACAAAAACTGTAAGAACAAGTAACATTTGCGAAGTCTGGAAAACTAGGCAGTTTGCAGCATCTTCACAGAAATGGATTTCTTTCTTAAACAACATGGACATCTTAGACAGGGTTCAAGGCTGTTATCTCAGTTGTCAAAGCCCAAATCTATCCAAGCAGGAGAAAAGAGAGTTATACATGGCTTCCTTTTTATTGCTGTTATAATGGCTGACTTTTTAAGGCATTAGTCTAGTAGCTAGCTGTTGTCATGAGGGAAGAGTGACTTTTGCATTTAAAGCAAAAAACTCCATTCTAACTATTCTCTCTCACGCCAAGGATTTCCTGCGACCTTGAACAACATGTAGGTAAAATGACCTTAAAAAAAGTAGTTGCCAGCAAAAAATCTCTATATATTCCAGTTTATAAAACAAAATAACAGTTTAACATTATCAGAAGCAGGTGGAAAAGTTCCCCCAACAGGATGTTTGGTGCTGTCATCTCATACAAGTGACTGTCTTAAGATCCCATGCAAAGACTTAGTTGAAATGCTTGAATCCAGTAATGGTCTTTCTCTGTTGAACATAACTCTTATACCTCTAGGCACTTATGTGTTTTGCATATGCAAAATGAAAATAACATACATCACTACATGGAAAAATATAACGCATCCTTATGGGGTGACAGTATCATCTCCCTGAGAGGTTTTCTTCACTGGGTAATGGAGGTGAGACTCAGTTCACTGGTCATTAAGTGTATTAAGACCCTCCACTATACATTGCTTGAGAAATGCAAAATAATTTAATAGCACCAGTTATGCATGTTAAAATCCCAGTTAACTGAAGCTTCACTGACATCACACTTGAACAGGTAGATATAACTACTAGTCCACCAGCAATTTTTCAGTGCCAGCCCCAAGCGGTACTGAGGCACTGTTTTGTTTCCTAGGCCTCCTGGCAGTGTTGCACAGGATGAACCACATTCGTTTTCCTTCAGAGCTCTCTTCACCAGCTTGCTTAGGGCAAGGCTATGCAGCCTGCCCTGCCTCGGTCTCCTCCTTCACTGGATTTCTGCTACAACCCTTGTCTTCTAGTGTGACACTGGCAGAAAGGATCTAAGGACTTGTATGTATTAGTCCTGTTTCCAGTGATGTAGTTAAGTTTTGCTGCACTAATGTGAAAAGGACATGGTTCCTACTTCCCAGCAGCTCCATGTCGCTGAGCAAAAAAATAGTGCTGTGGCTGCAGATGCATCTCATGTTACATGCTGGCACAACAGGAAAGGTAAATTAGCTAATTTAATAGCTAGAACCACCCCCAGTTTACATCCGTGTATGTAAAATGGAATTTTTCTTCTTCATGTTTTCTTCTCAGCAGATTGCATCGTTTCATGCATGGAAGACTTTCTTAACCACAAACACATAGGTACATGCCTTTGTTGAGATCATATTGTTGAAAAATCTAGGCAGTCATAACTTAGATTAGGAGTTAAAAGAGTTAGATTAGGAGTTAAAAGAGGAGTTACAGATGTTAAATGAGAAGAGGAGAATTCATTCTCAAAGCCCGGGTGACTTACCAGAGAAATGAGAAAAGTGATCTTTTGTTTAAACTAAATTAGAGAAACAAAATAAACAAGGAATCTTAGAAAGTCACCTTTCAGAATAAAACAGTAGTCAGAAAGTAAGTCTTTACTGAAGGGCATGCTCCTATGTTCAAAAATAATTATTTCTACAGTAAATAAGAGAGGAGTTGGAATTTTTATTGTAGATTCACTAGAACTGAAAATAGGGTGCATTTTTTCTAGGACTAAAGCTAATAAATTAAAAACAAATGTCAAATCTAAAATTTAGATTTTTTTAAAAATCTGTATATAAAAATCCATAGTAATGACAGAGTAAGAGCCCTCACCTACAACTTAGATGTATAGTAGATCTAAAGATTAGCTCTTTACTAAGCAGGCAATTGCATAAAAAATCCAGATACAAGAGAGAAAGTGATAGCAAGGGGGAGGGAAGAATCACTTAGTTTGGTTAAAGATGCTGCATTTGTTTTCTAGAGAATTAATGTGATGTATGGCACTAGCTCCACCCTTAAAAAATGTAATAATATAACAGAAGGGGATAACATATAAAAGACATTCATTTGTTGTTTCATTCACAAGTAGCTTAAACTCAGTTTAACTGTGAAGAGAATGGGATTCGATTATTAGCATTCTGCTAATAATTTGATGGGCTGATATTTAAGAAGTGTTTCGTTCCTGTTGAATTTATGCTGATGTTTGTGTTTGCCTGCAGATCTTGCTCAGATATTCTTTCTGCAGGGATATTCTGATCTCACTTGTTTACAATATGATAAATAAAAAATACAGAGAAACATCTTTCTTCTGTTAATTCAGGTGTATCTCTGTCTTCTATGACCTCAGAAAGTGACTATGCTATTCCTCCAGATGCATATTCAATAGATACAGACTATTCAGAGCCAGAGCAGAAACTTCCTAAAACCTCTTCCTCATCTAGTGATAATGGAAAAAATGTGAGTATTGTAGTTTCTTAAAGAATAAGTGTTTGTGCTGTGTGTATATTATTATACAAAGAATGCTACCAAATCTCTATATTCAGTCTAGCTGACTCACAGACTGTATTATGATTACAAATATCAAAATAAATCAACAGTAAGTTAGCTATATCAAGACTATAATAATTGAGGCACAGTGGAGGATAATTCTGAGATTTTTATAGTGAATGAAAATAGGCAGGCAACTCCAGGAGACAACTGACTGGTGATGAAAATAATTTATTTTAAGTTTTCCTTACAGAGCAAAACTTTGAACTCTGTTTTACTGGAGCTCACGATAAAAGTGTGTCCGTGCAGAATTCTGAATCACACTGCTCTGTATCTGTTCTGTAGCTTAGGCCCCAAAGTTTGGAAAAAAATACATATAAATACATCATTTTTTCCTTGTCTAATAGAAATAATTAGAAAGTAAAATTTGTAATCATTTTATAATGTTCTTCAATCTTCTGTATAGTTCTTTCTAAATCATTTATTCTCTTTCAGGTACTTTAATTATAAGCAGGGATATTAATAGTTGTCCCAGCTTCATGGCATTTATCTTAATTGATGCTTGTAAAAACTATGTCCTTGGAATTAAAGTCTCATAAAATACTATAATTATTTTTTAACATGAGCTTTTAAATCATTGAAATGTGTGTAAGTATGTGTGTCTATGTATTTCTACACATCTCTGGGGGGTGTAGGTGTATATGTATACTTTATTACTTTTATCTAACATTTAAATAATCAGGAACCTTTGGAAAAATCTGGATATCTATTAAAAATGGGTGGTAAAGTAAAGACCTGGAAACGACGGTGGTTTGTGCTTAAAGGAGGCGAATTACTGTACTACAAATCTCCAGTAAGTACATGCAACTTATTTCCTCTTTAGTATTAGCCTCTTGTTGCTGACAGTCTAAGACTGTTAGAAGGAAAATAAATGCATTCCTGGTGTATGAGCTATTAGACAATAATTCAGGACTCAGTTCCTCAAGAGGCATACAAGGTACTCATGTCTAAATAGGAAGTACTGAGAAAGATTAATGCTTAAATGAGTTCTATAATTATTTAGTGCTATTTGGTGGTAGCTTAGAAGTATTTCTTTTTCCATTCTTTCCATACAGAGTGACGTAATTCGAAAACCTCAAGGTCAAATTGAGCTAAATGCATCTAGCCACATTGAAAGGGGTGACGGAAAACAAACAATTCAGGTACCTGCTTTTCTCGTTCTGTTTTTAAACGTTTTTTTCTCTTTCATCCCCAAAAGTGACCCTTTAGTCCGATAAGGAAGTATGGACTTGGAATTAATCAATGATCTTCACTGGAAACAGGATCATTTCACTTTTAGAAATTAGTGATAGAAAGGCCTAAACTTAAATAGTCTTGTCTGTATTGCTGCAAAGGTCAGATTGTTACTTAGAAGATATAAATGAAGACAGTGGTCTTGGGAAGCAGCCATTAGGATTGACTGAAGTTATCTGAAAGGAGATAAAATGAATCCTGGAATCTTTCAGGTAAGGTCTTAGGAAGCATTGGTCTGCCTGCTCTGCCCAGCCATCGGATATGTCAGTAGAACGTGTAATGTTCTTAAAGCTCAAGACTTTTCTATTACTATGTAGTTGACCACAGAAAAACGAACATATTACCTGACTGCAGATTCTCCAAACATCTTAGAAGAATGGATCAAAGTACTACAGAATGTTCTTAAAATACAAGCTGCTAGTCCCCTTTTCATACAGCCTGAAATCAAGCCAACCATGAAAGGATTACTTACAAAGGTGGGAATACTTATCTTCCCCAAATATGCTTTATTCCAGATTTATTGAGAATAATATCTAGATGAAAAAGGCTCTACAGTAAAATTAATACAAAATAGTCCTCCCACTACTTTACAAAGTGAATCATCCAGAAGGACTATCAGCCGATCAACTTTTGGCAAAACTTTTCTTTTGGTTGCTTGAGATTTGATTTGGTTATTGTTTCTTGTTTCTTGATTCACTAGTTCCTGTGCTGTGTTCTCCATTTGCAATTCATGGTACTTTGACACATGTATAAGTTTCTGTAGATAATTTATCTACTCTATTTCAATAGAGCTCTCTCTTTCTCAGTATTATTCACTGGGACAGATTATTTCAATAAAGTATGAATATTGTATAAAATGGTTTTGTTTTCAACTCGTTTATTTCCTCAGCTTTCATTACTTCAGGCCTGATCCAAAGCCAAATGAAAAAATCACACTGGGCTTTAGACCAAGCATCTAATGCTTTAAATCTTATGCCTGTAATTGAGTTAAGCGGTTTAAAGCATTTTTCTATTTATGTGGAGAGGAATTTGAACTAAGGTATTTGTTCCTAACATCACCAGAGTTAGAGAAGATGAAATGTAATCTGTATTTCTCTGGCTGTGCTTGCCCCTAAGTGTTCTGTAATTTCAGGTGAAACATGGATACTCCAAAAGGGTTTGGTGTACCCTAGTTGGAAAAATTCTGTATTATTTCCGTAATCAAGAAGACAAGGTAGGTCCCTTATTTGTTTCCTTGGTGAATGAAAGCTACATACTGGAAAAGACTTTCATAATAAGTTACAGTCGTAGTAAGATGTAGATTGGCCCGGGTAATGTATGCCCATTTTATCTTGATTACCAAATATTCAGACTTGACAGACTGTCAATTTGCAAGGTTCCTATCTGATAGACAGTAATCCAGGGCACACCCATTGGTCTGCTTCTGCAGGACTGAATCTGCATCTTCTTATTCTTAGCAAAAGAATAAGACACTGTTTAGCTGACGGTTCAGGACTCCCTTTCTTATTCTTAGCAAAAGGGGGACACTGATTAGCTGACAGTTCAGGACTCCCTTTCTGACAGGCGCGAGACTCATCAGAAAAGACCTGACCCTCATTCACTTCTAGAAGATGACCTTTTTAATGTATGTTTGCACTCAGCAGTGACTGCAAGTCTCAATAAATTAAATGTTCTTTTTATCCCTTGATTGACTTCCAAATCCTGTTCTTTGGTTTGTCACTGTGCCTCCACAATGCTGCAAGAAGGGCAAAAAAGCCTAGCAGGCCACAGAGAGTTTGTTACGCTGTGGTGGTAGTGGGGGGTGGATCCTTTCTGATTCTTCCTCAGAATTTCGGAAACAGAACTCATTGCCTACAGCTGAAAAGGTGGACAGAAATGGTGATGGGGGAAGGCAAGAGAATGGGAAGAGCAAATGATTTCTGAAACTTAGGAAAAAATTGTTTGAAGGAAGAAAAGAAAGAAATAGGATCCAATTAGCATTAAGGTGCCCTCACAATATACAATATCTTATAGAACACCAGGAGCTAAGAAGAGCCAGACCTGGCTCCTCCACTTCAGGCCTAACCGAAAGAACCCCCCTGACTATGGGTTCTCTACTCACACTTCTGAATATTGTCAGTCCTAATATTTCCAGACATATTTACCTACTGAGGACAGTAGAAGGACACTTTCTAGACATACTTTGCACCTGTTGTCTCACTCCCAAGGTGTTGTGTTGTGCATCAACAAGCATCTTGACCATGGAGATCGGTCAGGAAAGCGATTTTGAGGAAGTCTGCAAGAATTCTTCATGTTAATACCCCTGAGTTTATGAACATTTGTTTCATACACTTATTACCTAGCTCCACCAAATAGAGAGTTGATGTTTGACAAAATGGCAAAACTCCACTGAGCCATTAAAACTTACGACAGTTAAAAAAAATACAGAAAATATCCCTTGTTACTGCTAATCTGTCCAAATAGTCATATTGGACCCAGTAATTTGTAGTCTGTGGGTCAAGCTAGTTATTCCCTTTGTTATCTTTTCCTTTTTTTTTAAGTCACTTTTTAAACATTGAACTAAAGCTTATATCTAGAGCTAGATAAATTTGTTAGCAGTAACCATCCTTTAGAGTATTTTATTTTAATTAGTCTTTGAAAGTCTAATACGGGGCCAGGGAGTCAGGTAAGTGGTATTTCAGAGTACTAGGCTCTAGCTCATTTTACAGAGATGCTAAAAATTAACTTGCATTTCTCACCTATAAAGAAATCTTTATTTTTAAAGTATCTGAATTTACACTTTTTTATCTTTGAAGATCTTGTTTGTTAGCAAGCCCTTTAGAAACATCTGAGAAGTTTTCTGGCTTCTCATGAATATTTCCTTCACATCTGGAACAAGTTTTATGGACTTTTTTTAAAGCAAAATTGAAACTAATTTACAAGCTTGTAATAGAAGAGGAATGCTGCTTTTATAAGCAGAGTATTTTTTTTAAATACTACATAAGTGAAGTTTTCCAAACCTAGTTCATTTTTGATATTCAATAATTTGCTAATTAAAAATATATTTGTTGTAACTAAACGTGAGTGTGCAGAAATAAATTACACAATCTGCAGTTGTTATACAGTAATGGAATCCATTTAAGTGGACTCTTTTTAAAATGGAGTTCAAATTCAAAAAGCAGCCTCCTGTGTTTTAGTTGAACTGTTCCTCTTAGTGAATAAGTCAGTCTTGACTACTTGTATTTGAAATGGCATCTCTTGATTCTCAGAATCTATCCTGTTCAAAAAGTTGTGTTTCAGAAGCGCTATAGAAAATACAAAACACCACATGCATCTTTAATCTGTACTAGTGAGTGCAGTGGCATAAAAAGCCACTACTATGCAATCCTTTCTTCAGCATTACTATCTTAACTGCTCACCTTATCAAATCACTATTCAAGAAAGCCACTCTTGATCAATTCAAACTTGCGAGCTACTCTCCACACGCATTTTCAATTTTTAAACAGTATTACTGAGAAGCTAAGAGTCAACCTCATGTGCATTTCACTGTTGCTGATATTTTAAGACCTCTTTCAAGCTTACACTTGAACATGTCACAGGGAAGAATCTAGTTGAGGTAGTGACCAACCACCATTTTGCCAAAGGAAAACATATCCCTGCAGAATCACTAAGCATTGCTGGGCTTCACAAGCGATACAGGAACAGTAGTCAAACCTTCTTCACTGCACCATTAAATAACAGACTCGCTTGAGCATCTTGATGCCTGAATGGCTAGAGAAAGAGCAGTGGTGCTGTAGGAAGGGAGAGACCTTTCTGGAAAATAGCCAGCAAAGACTGTCATCCTCTGTTAGTCCTGTCACCCAGTTGAGAAGATGGCATGCTGTTTTGGGGTTCTTTGTGGTTTCCTGTTCCTGCTGGGTACTTAGTAATTACTTCTATGAAAATTTCCCTTTGAACAGCTTTACGTATAGAATATTTCCTGATAAGTGATCATAACTATATATACAACATCAGGCTCAAGTAGTGTGGTCTGTCAAGCTGGAGACCAACTCAGAAGGTCCACCACATCAAAAATTTACCTTTTGAACTTATTCAGTTCAGTGAACATGTACAGTGCTGTCCTCTCAAATGAATGATTATGATTAAGGTTCTCGGCTAGACACTGGGAATTTTTAGTTGGAACTGGGTTGGAAATTCTGAAGAATTTACCTCTCTCTCCCTAACACAGATTTATTGCATTAACTACATAGAGAAGTAGACCTGGAAATAGAATTACAATTTTGCTTACTCTCACACTTTGGCACGTATCATTCTGCTTCTGCTGTTTATAACAGCTGGTTTATCTGACACTCCTTGGCATGACGTAAATAAATATAAATGTGTATTGATGGCAGTTTATGGGTTTTTTATATCTGTAGAATAAGAGATATAAAATTAGCGTGCACTGAAGCAAATATTTGTTCTGTGACCACTTCTGATATTTACTTTTAGTTTCCTCTTGGTCAAATCAAGCTTTGGGAGGCTAAGGTTGAAGAAGTTGATAGATCATGTGATTCCGATGAAGATTATGAGGCTAGTGGCCGCAGTTTATTATCAACACATTACACTGTTGTTATCCATCCCAAAGATCAAGGACCCACTTATCTTCTTATAGGATCCAAACATGAGAAGGTAATAAATGGACTCTTTTATTGAGTTTAAATTACCTGTCTGTGACTATGGTGCTGTGATATGAATATTTCCTAAAGAGGAGGGGAGGGGGAAAGGGCAACTGAAGTCAAGTTACCTTTTTTGCTATGCCTTCTACTCTGTAGTTTGAAATAATAAGCAAAGAGAAGGTCCTGCTTCATGAACATTGATCCAAATTTGCCTAAGAACCAGTGCTAACACAGGTAATCCTTTTTAAAATGTCCAAAAATATCCAGGCTTGTCTACATAAGGAGATTGTGAGGAACATACACTAAAGTTGATAATTTTGCTCACATTTCACTGATTTGTAGACAGACCTTTAGCAGACCTTCTTGAGAAGTTTTGGGATAATGTTATCCATTTTCACTGATAATTAACTTCACAGACTAACTGTAGGGAAGACTTCCATCAGTGAAGTGAGAGCTACGGTTTAAAAATGTTTTTATCATTATTGCTCGATTGTTCTTAAATAATGTTGTAGACCTCATTTTGATTCCTGACCTTAAGCCCAAGGTTATCAGGATCTGGCAGTGATAAAAAGGCACTTACATTAGCTTTCTAAAGAGGAAGATAAGAATGCCCTGCATCACTGAGCAACAATTTCTAAGGGTAAAAAAAAGAAGAGAGCCCTGTTCTGAAGAGAGCCCTGTTCAGTCTTCCTCACCTAATATTTGTAATGTAGGATGAGCATCAGTTCAGGTGTGAAAGTAAAACAAACGGCTTCAATAGCAATGTTTTGAGCTGAGAGCAAAATCTCAGTGAAGGAGCTCCTTCCACATTCAACTTCTGACTTAATTCCTAGAAAAACTGATGTTCAGTATTTTTAATGCTCTCGAGAATCTGGTGGAACAAATGAGTGAGCTGCTTTGTGTTTTTCTATTTTAGGACACATGGCTTTATCATTTGACAGTTGCAGCTGGAAGTACCAGTGTAAATGTTGGATCTGAGTTTGAAAAACTTGTTTGCAAATTATTAAATACAGATGGTGATACCAGTAAGTTTCTTTCTGTTTCAACATACTAATCTTTTAATACTTACTAGGTTCAGGTAATATTTACCCTATGTTTGTAAGATAATTTTTGGTAAGAAAAACAGTACAAATTATAGTATTAGGTATACCTTCCAGATCTTTTAATAAACACATACATGTGGAATTAGATTTTTTTTGGTCAATGTAAAGCCGTTAACTTTTTTGGTAGGTTTACTTTTCTGATGACTTACTTTCTACACCAGCAGAGCTATCCACTCTGTAAAACAGGACTACTGACACTAACCTGCTTTGTAAAACACTTTCAAGAGGAGTGATAGGACTTTGAATCTCTAATCTAAAGTATCATTAACAAAACAATTAACGAAGTTATGACTATTCATGAATAAATACAACTATCTATGCCTTGTTTCTGTAAGATATTGAGATCAGTGAGAATGGAATTTCTGCTTGAGGTCAGAATTAAGAACAGTATTTGTAGAACAGACCAAAATAATTTGCAAAAGTTAATAGATGCCTAACTTGCTTTGATATGGTGGGTTTTTTTTAACGGCCACTATATACTAATATGTATGTGACTGCATTTCCAAATTCTGATCCCTTATACTACACAGGCAAAGTATGTCATAAAGGAAGAATATATATTATATATACAATATACATATATAAACAAGTTTTCCTTAACTATATGTGCTATATGGTTTTGTTTGGGAAAGTTTTAGAGTTCACACTTTCTATATAACCTCTCGAGTTAGAGCAAGTGTTAGTACAGTTCTGAACACCAAAGTCTGTTCAGTTGGAAATATATTTTGATATGCTTGTGCTAAAAGGAAGACTCAAGCCTCTCTTAATTCATGAGCTGGAGACAGCTCATCTTAGTGTTATACTAATCCCCGCAAAAATTGCCTTCCATCACGTCCCATGCTGCTGTAGATAGACTAGTAGCTTCAAAAGGAGAACAGTGCTAATATTCACCAGATGATAGATTCAGGAGTGGAATCGGAACATCCCCACTTTGCTCTGGGTTTTGAAAACAGCAGATATTTTTTCCTTATCTGCAAGAAACTGGTTCTCAGATTCTGACTCTTTAAGCACAAGTCACTGACAGGCTCAGTGACAGTCTGTGCCAGCACATTGAGCACTCATCTCGCACACTCTTACTCAGATAATTATTCCTTATTCTTGTGCAAAAAACCTCCTAGACATTAGCGGAACTGGTCTTGAGAACTTTTATTTTTTTGAATAGTCTCGCAGTTTGTAACAAAAGGTAGCCAGCAGTCTTTCAGACTCCTTATCACTGTTTGAGATACAGGTACTTTAACTTAGAAGCCAGGTTCCGCTACCACGTAGGATGTAGTTGTGAGTTTCATCAGAAAGAAACTGATTTAATACCCAAGAACTTTACCTCACTGAGAATCTTTATTGACCCCACCGAAGTCAGACTGGAGGGAGAGGGAGATGACTACCTTGGCAATTTATCTTCTCAATATTGCTATACTCTGTCCAGATGAACTTAGGCACATGTACAGTGTGAAGTGATGCAACAATTTGGAGTGAGAGAACTCGCTTACAAAACAAAATAAAAACCCAATACCCCCAGAAACGTAAGAATTTTTGATCTCATTTCTTAAGACAGCAAGGTTTATTTGATTATATTCCCTGTGTGTGTCTTGTCTCCTGCTCCCACAGTCATTGAACATAATGTTTAATTTTAGTTAGTTGTATTAGTGGTCGAAAAGAAGCACCTGGGTAGACAA